TATATATAGTTTAATTTTTAGTAATTTTGTTTTGTGTTTGTCATTTTTAGTTGTCCAACTTTTTAAATAGTTTTAATTTATTTTATTTCAGTTTTACTTTTAATTCTCTTTTTTTTTTCTTTTTTAGTAATTTGGTTATTTGCTTTTGTCATTTTTATTAATTTTTGTTTCTTTTTAAAAGTTCCTAAATAGTTTTAATTTATTTTTATTTCAGTTTTAGTTTTGATTGTTTATTTTGTTGGTATTTTTTTGTAATTTTGTTATTTGCTTTTGCTTATTATATATTTTTTTTAAATATTCTTTTTTATTTTTACTTTGGTTTTAGTTTTATTTCACTTGGTATTTTTAATAATTATTTCTAAATATTTTAAATTAATTTTTATTTCAGTTTTACCTTTAATTCAGTTGGTATTTTTAATAATTTTGCTATGTGCTTTTGCCATTTTTATTCTTTTTTATTTCTAAATAGTTTTAATATATGTTTATGCCAGTTTTAGTTTTTATTTCTGTTAGTAGTTTTGAAGTAGCAGATTTCTTAACTAGTGTAACCAGGATAACTTCCTTGCTCGGCCAGCACAAACGCAGGATTTTCTGCTGCCAGTCAAACAGCATGTCTTTGTCTCTGCGTGAGGCTTTTCAGCGTGTTTCTGAGGTCACATCAGTAATTGTGAGTCTGTAATTGTTTTGTGTTCATGCATCAGCTGCGTTTGGCCCCCCGCTGGAACGCTGCATTTAAAACACCGATCACGTCACTTCTGTGCGCGACACAACACACGAGATGACTTCAGTTCACGTTTACTGCCGATTACACCGGCTGCATCCTATTTGATGAATGAAATCCAATACGTTTCCTAATCCTGATTTCAAGGTCATTAGAATCTGGATTTATGACCGGTGACAGAAGAAAATGAAAACATGATCCAGATGTTTTCTGCTTCATGTCTGTGTTTTACTGCATCCCAAGAAAATTCAGTTCTTTGACATTAAGTGGAGTATTTGAACATGTATTTCCACTCCTTTGCATATTGTAAGTTAAATGGAACATTTTAAATACTTTAATAATAATAATAATAATTTTAAAAAGTGCAGTAAAGCTGATACATATATAATTTGAAAAAATAAAAAAGTCCCTTTTCTTCATGTGCCCTGGGAAAGAAATGAAGGCTGGATTAACCTTCACATCCATACATCCAAACTTAAAGTTATTTCAGTTAGTTGCCAAAGCATGATTTCTCATTTTCATTTAAGTTTTTGCAACTAAATATTTTATATTATTTCGGCTTTATTCTGAAAGTTACAGTATGTGTTTATAGTGGTGCATCTCTGTTTATGATCTCACCCTTTAATGAATGTAAAGCAGGCATATGGGACGCGGTTTATTTATTCATCAGTTCTTGGCTCTGGTGAATAGGTTGGCGGCCTGCTTTGATATGAAGCCAGTGTTCGTTTCCCTCTGATCTTATATTAATTACAGGACTCATGACAGCTCTGAAGGAATTTTATGTAATAAAAATATAATTTTCATCCACACCTGCGAGGTGCTTCCACACGGGCTCCAAGATGAACACTCGCTGAGAGCCAAATGTCAGTAAAAACTGCTCTGCCGGGTCACACGCCAGCTGGACCGAAACCGCAACATTATATGAGCTTTAGAGAGAAATACATGAAGATAATCTGATGTTAATGATGCGAGTGAATTAAATCAGACGTACAAACCCTCTGCTGAAAACGTCGCTCACAACCGCGGCTTCTTTTCATGACTTTAACTTCAACTTCATGTGTCTTGAGAAAGAGATGCAGCCTGGATGAACATCCACCCTAATAAACAAACAAACAAACAAGCACACGAACAAACAAACAAATAGCATCCTCTTCATACTATCCCTGTAAAAAAATTTAATTAAATGAATGAATAAATAAATAAAAATTACATTCTTTACTTTTCATACTGTCATATATATATCACAGCAAAATTGAGTTAAATTAACTCTGCTCAGAGTACATATTGTCCCAATCTACAGAGTGTTAAAGTAACACTGAAGCCGAGTTAAAGTTAATGGTTTCATTACTTTAACACTCTGTAGATTGGGACAATATGTACTCTGAGCAGAGTTAATTTAACTCTGGGGATTTTGCTATATATATATATATATATATGTTACGGGGCTGACGAGACGTGAGACGTACGGATCCATTTGCAAAGCTTTATTCTGATATTTCATAGTTAATAAGGGGATATTTATTATTTAATGAAAAATGCCTGATGTTAATGACCTGATTTTATCTGTGAGGAACTGATTGGATGGTGAAAAGCATCTCTATATAAAGATGGCATTAAGTGAAAAAGAAACACACATGATTTTCCTGAGTGCTGACAGAATGAAAGTACTTGGGCTCTGTTGTCGATTCACAGTGTCTGTGGTTTCTGTCTGTAGAGCATGATGAGTGTGTGTCCGGTCAGCACAGCTGCGATGAGAACGCTCTGTGTTTCAACACCGTCGGCGGCCACAGCTGCTCCTGCAAACCCGGATACACCGGCAACGGCACCGACTGTAGAGGTGAGACACGCGTCCATCTGCCGTCCCACTCGTCCCCTGACCCGTCTGTCCTCTCTCTGACCCATCCCTTGACCCGTCCTCTGACCCGTCCCCTGACCCGTCTGTCCTCTCTCTGACCCATCCCCTGACCCGTCCTCTGACCTGTCCCCTGACCCGTCTGTCCTCTCTCTGACCCGCCCCCTGACCCATCTGTCCTCTCTCTGACCCATCCCCTGACCCGTCTGTCCTCTCTCTGACCCATCCCCTGACCTGTCCCCTGACCTGTTCTCTGACCCTTGACCCGTCCTCTGACCCGTCCCCTGACCCGTCTGTCCTCTCTCTGACCCATCCCCTGACCAGTCCCCTGACCCGTCCCGACTCGTCCCCTGACCCATCCCCTGACCTGTCTGTCCTCTCTCTGACCCATCCCCTGACCCGTCTGTCCTCTCTCTGACCCATCCCCTGACCTGTCCCCTGACCCGTCTGTCCTCTCTCTGACCCGTCCCTTGACCCGTCTGCCCTCTCTCTGACTTGTCCCCTTACCCATCCCCTGACGTGTCCCCTGACCCATGCCTTGACTCATCCCCTGACCCATCTGTCCTCTCTCTGACCCGTCCCCTGATCCATCTGCCCTCTCTCTGACTTGTCCCCTGACCCGTCTGTCCTCTCTCTGACCCATCCCCTGACCTGTCCCCTGACTCGTCCCCTGACCCGTCTGTCCTCTCTCAGACCCATCCCCTGACTCGTCCCCTGACCGGTCTGTCTTCTCTCTTACCCGTCCCCTGACCCGTCTGTCCTCTCTCTGACCTGCAGCGCTCTGTGATGGCCGCTGTCTGAACGGCGGCTCCTGCGCATCTCCCAACATCTGTGTGTGTCCGCAGGGCTTCAGCGGGCAGAACTGCGAGACGGGTAAGAGCCTCTCTCTGATCTCAAACGCCTCTCTCAGCTCCTCCAGCCCGTCTGAGGACTCTTACGGCTCGCTGAGAACAAAGCCTGAGTGTGGAGATTGCAGTTTAGAAGAAGAGTGCTTGATTGTGGCCTGTGGGAGTGGATGACACAACGCACATCTTCAACTATATCGTAGAAACATCACAATATACGCATAAAGTCAACAGGAAGTGCTCTATATATTCAATTCAATTCAATTCAAGTTTATTTGTATAGCGCTTTTCACGATACAAATCGTTGCAAAGCAACTTTACAGCAAATTAAGTTTCTTCAATATTTAGTGGTAGCTTATCAGTGGTGACTGTCAGTTAATGTACATGTTTCATCTGGTCTTGTTGAGATATATAGTTGAGTATCATCAGCATAACAGTGGAAACTAATCCCGTATTTTCTAATAATATTACCAAGGGGCAACATGTATATCGAAAATAGCAGAGGACCTAGGACAGATCCTTGTGGCACTCCATATTTTACTGGGGATAATTTTAATATTCAAAATAATACACAAACATATACAAAAATAATGTAGAAAAATAATATGAGTATTATTAATAATAATAATATTCATATATTAAGATATAAATAGTAATAATATTAATAAATACAACTTTTTATTTTATAATTTGTAAATATATTTTATTAAATACATTTTTTATATATAAATTTGTAATATATAAATATTGATTATAATATTTATTTAATATGTATATA